GGCTGTAGGTTTGTCATAAATAGCTTTTATAATTTTATGATACGTTCCATCAATACTGCATTTATTGCGAGTTTTTAGCATGAAGGGCTGTTGAATTTTGTTGAAGGCCTTCTCTGAATCTATTGAGATAATCATGGTTTTTGTATTTGGTTCTCCATTTATGTGATGGATTACGTATGTGGACTTGCATATGTTGAACCAGCCTTGCGTCCCCCAGATGAAGCCTACTTGATCGTGATGAATAAGCTTTTTCATGTTCTGTTGTTACATTCGGTTTGCCAGTATTTTATTTAAGATTTTTTGTTCATCATGGATATTGGCCTGAAGTTTTCTTTTTTAGTTGAGTCTCTACCTGGTTTTGGTATCAGGATGATGTTGGTCTCATAAAATGAGTTAGGGAGGATTCCCTCTTTTTGTATTGTTTGATGTAGTTTCAGAAGGAATGGAACCAGCTCCTCTTTGTACATCTGGTAGAATTTGTCTGTGAACCCGACTGGACCTGGACTTTTTTTTGGTTGGTAGCCTATTGATCGCTACCTCAACTTCAGCCCTTGTTATTGGTCTTTCAGGGTTTCAACTTCCTCCTGGTTTAGTCTTGGTAGAGTACAAGTGCCAAGGAATTTATCCGTTTCTTCCTTGTTTACTGGTTTATGTGCATAGAGCTGTTTGTAGTCATCTCTGATGGTAGTTTGTATTTCTGTGGGATCAGTGGTGATATCCCCTTTATCTTTTTTAAATTGCATCTATTTGATTCTTCTCTCTTTTCTTTTTTATTAGTCTGGCTAGTGGTCTATTTTGTTGATCTTTTCAAAAAACAAGCTCCTAGATTTATCGATTTTTTGAAGGGTTTTTTTGTGTCTCTATCTCCTTCAGTTCGGCTCTTATCTTAGTTATTTCTTGTCTTCTGCTAGCTTTTGAGTTTTTTGATCTTCCTCCTCTAGCTCTTTCAATTTTGATGATAGGGTGTCACTTTTAGATCTTTCCTTGTTTCTCATATGGGCATTTATTGCTAAAAATTTCCCTCTTGACATTGCTTTAAAGGTGTCCCAGAGATTCTGGTAAGTTGTGTTTTCATTTTGATTGGTTTTGAAGAACATCTTTGTCTCTATTTTCATTTCATTGTTTATCCAGTCAACACTCAGAAGCAAGTCGTTCAGTTTCCAAGTGGTTGTGTGGATCTGAATGTTTCTCTTCATCCTGAGTTCTAATCTGATCATCCTGTGGTCTGATAGACTGTTACGATTTCTGTTCTTTTGCATTTGCTGAGCAGTGATTTGCTTCCAATTATGTGGTCAATTTTAGAGTAAGTGCAATGTGGTGCTGAGAAAAATGTATATTCTGTGGATTTGGGCTGGAGCGTTCTGTGTATGTCTATTAGGTCTGCTTGGTCCAGCTCTGTATTCAAGTCCTGGATGTCCTGGTTGATTTTCTGTCTTGTTGATCTAATATTTACAGTGGAGTGTTGAAGTCTCCCACTACTATCGTGTGGGAGTCTAAATCTCCTTTTAGGTCGTTGAGAACTTGCTTTACGTATTTGAATGCTCCTGTGTTGGGTTCATATATATTTAGGATAGTTAGCGCTTCTTGTTGGATTGATCCTTTTACCATTATGTAATACCTTTCTTTGTCTCTTTTGATCTTTGTTGAAGTACATTTTATCAGCGGGATTGCAACCCCTGCTTTGTTTTGTTCTCCATTTGCTTGGTAAATCTTCCATCCCTTTTTATTTTGAGTTTATGTGTGTCTTTGTATGTAAGATGGGTCTTGACTTTTTATCCAGTTTGCCAGTCTGTGTCTTTTGATTGGGCCGTTTAGGCCATTTACATTCAATGCTAGTGTTATGTGTGAATTTGATCCTGCCATTTTGTTACTGGCTGGTTTCTTGCCCGTTAGTTGACTCATTTTCTTCATTACATTTCTGGTCTTTGCCATTTGGTGTACTTTTGCAGTGGCTGGTACTTGTTCCTTTCTGTGCTTAGTGTTTCTTTTAGGAGCTCTTGGAAGGCAGGTCTGGTGGTGACAAAATATCTCAGTAGTTGCTTGTCTGTAAAGGATTTTATTTCTCCTTCACGTACGAAGTGTAGTTTGGCTGGATATGAGATTCTGAGTTGAAAGTTCTTTCCTTTAAGAATGTTGAATATCAGCCCCCACTCTCTTCTGGCGAGAGATCCACCGTGAGTCTGATTGGCTTCCCTCTGTGGGTGACCTGACCTTTCTGTCTGCCCTTAGCATTTTTTCCTTCATTTCAACCCTGGTGAATCTAACAATTATGTGCCTTGGGGTTGCTCGCCTTGGAAGAATATCTTTGTGGAGTTCTCTGTATTTCTTCGATTTGAGTGTTGGACTGCCTTACTAGGCTTGGGAAGTTCTCCTGGATAATATCCTGGAGTGTGTTTTCCAGCTTGGATTTATTTCTCCCAGTCATATTCAGGTACACTGATCAAGCGTAGATTAGGTTTTTTCCACATAATGCCATATTTCTTGGAGGCTTTGTTCATTTGTTTTCACTCTTTTTTCTCATCTTGCTTTCTCTTTTTATTTCATTGAGTTGATCTTCAATCTCTGATATCCTTTCTTCTGCTTGATTGATTTGGCTATTAAAACTTGTATTTGCTTCATGTAGTTCTTGTGCTGTGTTTTTCAACTGCATAAAGTCATTTATGTTCTTCTCTAAGCTGGTTATTCTAGTTAGCATTTTGTCTAACCTTTTTTTCAAGATTTTTGGTCTCTTTGCATTGAGTCAGAACGTGTTCCTTTAGCTCAGAAAAGTTTATTATCTCCCTTCTGAAGCCTGTTTCTGTCAATTCATTGCACTCTTTCTCGGTCATATTGTGTTCCCGTGTTGTTGAGGAGTTGTGATCCCTTCAGGGAGAAGAAGTGTTCTGGTCTTTGATGGTTTCATTTTTTTTGCACTAGTTTTTCCCCATCTTCATGGATTTACCTGGCAGCAATCTTAGGGAGCTGCTTGATGAGGTCACTTGTCTGCCTGTCAAGGCACTACTGGCTTTCCAGGGACCCCTTCAGGTTACTAGATAGGCTTCCTGTGTCTTTTTTGTTTACACTAGGAGGTTAGGCCCACCTCTTCCGCTGACCTGGAGGTGCTGCTGGGTGGTCAAGAATACCATCCCGTTGCTACATAGGCTTCTTCTGTTTTTTGTTAAAACATGAAGCCTAGTCCCACCCCTTTAATGGTGGGTTGTGCCTTTCCTCCACAGGGCTGGATCATTCAGGGTTCAGCTCAGACTGAGGCACTGGCTGCATAACCCACTAGTTAGTGCTTCAGCCCTCTGGGGTTTGTAGGGGAGGGTAGGGACCCACCCAGCCGCACAGTCTGTCTCCCCACTTTGTGCGCTCTCTCCCTCTCGTTTGCTCGCTGTCTCTCGCCTAGCTGCTCCATCTGTCTTCCTGCTTTCTGCTCCTTCTCTCTCCGGGCAGAGGAAGGGGGTGATAGCTCAGTCCGCAGGCTCTCCTGGCTGGCTTATGGGCTTATGCGTTTGCTTAGACCTGCGCAACAATCCGGGACACCGTCCGGGATTATTATTCAACTCTGTGCTTGTAATTCCCGGCGCTTGACTGGCAAAGATGCCCTGTTCTGTGTATTGCTGAGGCTTTGGGGGAAGCGCTGTATCTGGACTGGAGTGCCAGAGGGGGAGCCTCCAACTTACCGGTCAGATGCACTTTCTGGGTAAAGCAGCACACCTGCCTGGGCTTTGCTCACCGTCCGACCAGACCCGTTGAAATGCACCTGATACCTCGGTTGGAGCTAGATCTTGATTTCTGCGTCTCTCTCGCTGGGTGTTCTGCACCGGAGTTGTGTCTATTCGACCATCTTGGCTCCCTCGCCATTGATGAAGTTTAATTTCTAAATTAGGCAAAGTAAGAGGTGAACAACTAAAACTACTAATAAAACAGAACAATTATACTGTAATAAAGATTATGTGAGTGTGGTCTCTCTCCCTTAAAATGTCTTATTGTACTGCAGTGTACTCACCTATTTTCAGACCATGGCTGACTGTGGGTAATAAACTGTGGAAATCAAAATCACAAGTAAGTGGGGGTACTTCTGTAGTCTTTGAGAGTACCTTAAAACTGTAGCAACATTTTGCATTGCTGGGGCACCCCTTCAATTTTATACTGGGTTATCCATTATTCATAACATAGATTATGCGGTTCTGCAGGGAAAACTCATCTAAATTCTTAAAGAGATAGTCATTACTTTAAATTAAATGCTATCAAACTAAAAATATGTACTGATAATACTTTGGATACACTTGACTAAACAGAAGACAGATTTTGAAAATGCGCTTTCTTCAAACTCTGTGAGTGCTCAGCGTACCAGAAGTCCCTTCAAAGAGGAAACCCCATCGACAGCTTCAGTGGCCCATAAATCCACAAGTGCCACAAAAATTACCAAGGAGGCTGGGCATGGTGGATCACGCCTGTAATCCCAGCACTTCTTTGGGAGGGCAGATCACCTGAGGCTGGGAGTTCAAGACCAGCATGACCAACATGGAGAAACCCTGTCTCTACTAAAAATAACAAAATTAGCCGGGTGTGGTGGTGTGTGCCTATAATCCCAGCTACTCGGGAGGCTGATGCAGGAGAGGTTGCGGTGAGGTGAGATCACGCCACCAGCCTGTGCAACAAAAGTGAGACTCCATCTCAAAAAATTAATTAAGAATACAATTTATCTTCAACATCTTTATATGTATTCACATGAAAAATCTCTTAATTTGCCCTCAAGAAGTAAACTCTGTCATCTCTTGGTGAACTCCATTCGCAAATGTAAATAGTCGATCTTCTGCAGTCAGAAAGGAGTTCTGAGCCAGGCCTAAAACGTCCCGAGGTCCCTTGTCAGACTCCTCATACACAGCATGGTGTGGCTCTTCGTTCCTGAAGAAAGCACTCTTAAAATGTCAGCATTACATCTGTGTCCTAAGTGTTCCAGGAGAATGCATTTTTAAAATTAAGAAAGAATGGACCAGAATGACAGTGAACTGCTCATTTTAGAATGTTCTTTATTCTGACAGTTACTGGACAAATATAAGGCATGTTCACAAGTGTCTGAAGTTATGTACAAAACACACCCATTCAACAGATGCTCCTCGTCTCCTTTTGTACTTGCACTGCAAACTGGTCCTTATGCACGTTAACACCTACAGCGCTCTATTCTCATGAATATTCAGAAAACGTTTTCGGAACCACCATGGACAATCTGTTTCAAACTAAGGCATGAGCTTCTACGAACTAAGTCACTAAGACATCAGAACTCACAGTGAACAAAGGCAGATGAAGGTGACAAAATCAGCTCATAAATTCATTACTCTTTAAGTTTCCAGTGGAACAAAGAACACACTGAAAAACATTTTTTGATCCTTCGTGTCGGAGAGAAATGGAATGTGTCCAGAATTCACGGTTCTAGGTTTACCACTGTCTACAAGTCACAAAACAATATCTAATTTTTCCATGGTTTCTAATGTTTGCTCTTAGGCCACAATATAAGATTGCATGCATTACTTTACAAAATGTCAAACACAGGACAATTGTAACACAGACACTTCAGGGTTGTCTAAACGCACAGCTTCTTTTTTTGTGGTGGGTGGGGAAGGAGAATGACGGTGGCCGTTTCCACACACAGCCCGTTGTGTGCTCAGCACAACTAGATGCGGCCCCCAAGCACTTGCTGACTGACTCACAAAAGAACAGAAGCTGCTGAGGAGGCAGTGGAGTTCCAACAGCAGGCTCCAACCGGGGGCTGGGACGATGGACACAGCCTCGGCTCCAGGGGGCTCAAATTTTAGTCAATACTAATTAAAAAGTGTTTTGTAAGTGATTTTTGAAAATCAGATTACAGCTATAAAAGATGAAAAGTAAACAATTTATCAGGGGGAACATAAAATATAAAAAATGAAAAGCACATGGCATTCCACAAAGAGGAGATTTGAATCTTGGTCTAAGTCAGCCAATATTTTAACATTAACTTAAATTATTAAAATGTAGTTTGCTTATTCCCATTCTTAAAATGCAGACTCTTTGAGGAAAAATGTAGGCATATTTTCAGGAATACGGACTCATGTAAAAATTTTAAAAAGTCAGTATCGTCTCTCTTGCAAGCTACTAGAACAGGGTTTTCAAACACAAAAGGGTAACTAACAAATGTGGGGCGCTTGAATATATTAAGAATTCTTATCACTAGAATACTGCTTTGAGGTGCTTGCGATACTTCCCAAAGGAAGACACCCATCTCAAAGAGCTCTGTGCAGCCGCCCCCCCCACCGCGACCCATGAATGTGGCAGCCATCATTCTATTAGCCACTGCTTGGCCATCATCAAAGAATTTACTCAGAGTGGGGAAATTACTCGGTATCAACTATGTTAGCGACTTCCACGTATTGAGCTTTGTGACGCACAACGCACAAGGGTCTTCAAATGTTTGCTTTTTACACCAGTGGTAGGAAATTGTCATTCCTTCGATTCAACATGCCAGTGGATGAGCTTTAGTGAAGTGTGACTCCCCAGGAAGGCAGCTCCCGATTCTCAGTGGGCCAGCCTCTTCCAGAAGGTGCAGGCTGCTACTCTTCCGACAGGAGATCACAACCCCGGCAGGCCGGGCAAGTGCTCTGCCCTTTAAGCCACTGCTTAAAGCACTGAAAAGGAGAAAGCAAAATCAGGCAAGGCCTTCAGGGGCATGAGGGAGCCAAGCTCCCCTGTGCTGCTGGGCTCCTTGGTGGGTGTGGCTCACTGGCCCTTGGTCTCCCTTGGGCCTGGAGCTGCCCAATACTCAGGGACACCAACGCCTGCCCAGGCCAGAGTGTGGACGAAGCTCCAGCAGCCACCGGTCCCACCTCAGGGTCAGGTCCTGAGCGCTCTGGGCCTCTGACTTAGCCTCAGGGGGTGCCTTGCCCTGAGCCCCGGCTCCAGTCTCGGCTCTTCCACTTCAGCTGTGCTGAATTTCAGAGCCTGGCATTCTTGGCCCTATGACCCAATCACTCATTCTTAGCCCATCCCTTGGCCTGGCCTCAACCCTTGGGTCTGGAACAGCTCACCAGCCTGCACACCACACTCCTGCGGCCTCTGCCCACACTGCTGAGGCTGAGGCCAGTCAGCCAGCCCAGACATAAGACCCTGTACCTATAGGAGGCAGACCACACCAAAGAGACTTGGCAAGGGGTCTCAATTCCTTTTGGTGAGTATGCTGTATTTATCCCGTTGCAAAAAATGAGCAAATGCCATGGCAGAGACCTGATCTGTTCTAACCCAGCAGCAGGGGTACACACAAACGCACACACAGATCCCAGAACGGTACTGGCAGGACTGTCGCCGGGTCAGGCAGAAGGGACTAAGTTCGGTTTGGTTTTTCTCCTCTAAAATACTAAACTGACTTCATATACTACACTAAGTAAAAAAAAAAAAAAAAATGGTTTCACTGTTTCTCCACTTAGTCAAGCGTGTAAGACCACCTTTCATGGAACTAATACTGCTTTGAATCTCAGCACCAGCGAGTGGCGGGAGCTGCCGCTCTCCTCTCCCCACCCCGGATGGAAAGGACGGTCTGCGGTACTGCCCCTCCCGCAGCTGGTGTGTGGACAGGGAGTCGGTGAACACTGACACTGGAGGTGTGCAAAGGAAGGGTTTGAAAGCACAAGAAACACTGATGACTAGAAGACAATTACTTTCTTACTTTCAAAATACTTGACGGTTCCAATGCATGCTGTACAATGGCCAGAAAGAGCTCTTACCCCTTTGTGATACTTGTGCCCGCATTTGAGCACTCGCACATTTTTTGATTTGAAGACCTCATGGCATATTTCACAGGAACTCACAGCTGGTGCCTGTGGAAACGAACAGACCTGAATAATAAAGAACTACATTTGTTTTTATGACACGAGTTTTTCCTTCAAGTGGCCTTCAAATATCTTTTGCCACAGAGGGTGGCAGATTATTCACAATCACAGCTAAACAGTCTAAAAACTTTTTGTGTGTGAGATGGAGTTTTGCTCTTGTCGCCCAGGCTGGAGTGCAATGACGTGATCTCAGCCCACCACAACCTCTGCCTCCTGGGTTCAAGCGATTCTCCTGCCTCAGCCTCCCAAGTAGCTGGGATTACAGGCATGTGCCACCACGCCTGGCTAATTTTGTATTTTAAGTAGAGATGGGGTTTCTCCATGTTGGTCAGGCTGGTCTTGAACTCCCAACCTCAGGTGATCTGCCTGCCTGGCCAGAAACAACTTATTTTTTAGCAGCATTTCTTAAGAAACAATATAAAAACACAAAAAGATACTTTTTAAAAAAAGTTTACTTATAAAGTTCTAATTTCCTCAAAGAAAAAACTGTTTTATGTGGCTATAAGATTCCCAGGTGAAGATTAACATACCTAAAGTGTAGTATGGGATAATCATGTGGTATGGCATGAATCAATCATTTATCTAATCATCTAAGAGTTGAAGGCAGTAAATTCCAACACATCCACACAATGGACTATTGTGTAGCCAAGGGAAATCATGATGGAAGTCCATAATCCCTGACACAGAAAGCTGGCCCCAACAGCCTGCTGAATGAAAGCAGCTAACAAGACAGTATGTATCAGATATAACTCACTTTGTAATAAACAGGCTGCAAGTATACATACATGCCCAGAAAAACATGTTAACAGTGGTTGCCTCAGGTTAAGGGAGATTCAACCTTAGTCTTTACTGTTTCCTAGTTTCTGTGAGCATGGATTACTTTTGCAAATCAAAACAAAACAAATGGATGGCTCATCCGGCAAACATCCATGGGCAGGGACTGTGTGGTGCGCGGGACACAGAGATGAATGGAGGGCTCTGGCCTCAGCGGCTCACAGTCTGGTGAGCACAGACAGTGCTTTCCATGCGAGCGCAGAGCCGAGTGCTGCCTGGGACTGCAGGCACCGCGTTCTCCCTGCAGCTCACAGCACTTACCCTACACTGCACCATTAACTTTACTCTAGCTCACTGCCTCCTAACTCTGAGCACCTTGAAGGCACGAAATGAATCCTATCAGGGTCCTTAGCAGCTGGCAAAAAACCTAGCCTACACTCACGCTCTAAAAACCCCTGCTGAGGGAGCCAGGGAACGCAGGCAGCCCTGGCAGTGTGATCCAGTTCAGGGAGTGGCGCTGGGGCCTGAGAGGGCCTTGAACTGCTGTCCAGCGTTCTGCCATCCTTCCCAAGGCGTGACTCAGCCTGAGAGGCAGATGCAGAATGAGGGTTCATGCCCCTCCACTGCTGCCCGTGACTCGAGGGTCAGGGAAGAAGAGGAAGTGCCAGCCCGGGGAAGAGCCAGTGAAGGCCTCTCCAATGCCCCGTGCAAAGCTCGGGGCCAGGTTTAGTGTGAAAAAATCTACTCTTGACTGTTTTCTGTTTCCCAGAAAAGATGGGCACTGTATTTCTAAGTAAAACGAAAAAAGGACAACCACAATAAAAACAACAAAAATCCAGCCCCTCGGAGAACATAGAAAGTCTAACTAAAGTATTCAGTTTTGACTAATTCATGTATACATGCATATAGGAGTTTAGAAACATATATACCGAAGTGGCAATACTGGTTACAGGGTGGGTTTTTTGTTTTGTTTTGTTTTGTTTTGTTTTAAGACGGAGTCTCACTCTGTTGCCCAGGCTGTAGTGCAGTGGCACAATCTCAGCTCACTGCAACCTCCACCTCCCGGATTCAAGCAATTCTCCTGCCTCAGCCTCCTGAATAGCTAGGACTACAGGCATGTGCCACCACACCTGGCTAATTTTTTTTGTATCTTTGATGGGGTTTCACTGTGTTAGCTAGGATGGTCTCAATCTCCTGATGTCACGATCTGCCCACCTCAGCCTCCCAAAGTGCTGGGATTACAGGCATAAGCCACCATGCCCAGCCAACAGGGTGGGTTTTTAAATGCCCCTTTTTCTATTGTGAGTATGTAATGCTTTTGTAATTTAAATATTAATACTTTTAACAAACTATGATTATCAAATTAGGTCCCAGTTTGAATACGTATTTTTCTTTCTCATACAATTTGGTGAGGTTTAACTAAGTCAGCTTTTATATCTTCATTACTATAAACATCCACCATGAAGCAAAGAGAGAACTCTCTTCTCCAGGCGATCATGGTCTGTCTTGGGGTGGGGGTGGCCACGATACCACATTCACTTTGCGCACGCACACGTGACCCATCAGGGAAACCCCCAAGAGAGGAGGGACTCCAGCCAGGTCGTGCAGGAATGCCCTACACGCTAGGAAGCTCCCTCACTGGGGTGTGGGTGGGGCTGAGGCCCTTTAGAGCTGAGTGAATGCAGTGTGAAAAGTCTCCAAAGAGTAGTGGAAAGTGAAAACATCTGGGAGGAATAAAAACCTAAGTTTACAAAAAGCCTCAAGGCCTGCTCAAGTTAGCAAACCAGTACTCTCTGCAGTCTCCTCCTGCGGCTCCCTGGCTGAGGTGATGGGGCCTGCAACTCTTCCCCCTGTGGATGTTGGTTATACTCCGACACCAGAGATGGACAAAAGGGAAGACGTGCCTGACGCCGGAATTCCATGCAGAGCCCACAGCCCTGAGCCACGCAGGTGAGAGGCCCTCTTGTAGCCAGCCCTGCGGCCCCTACTGCACGGTTCCAGCGTCAGCCAGTCCCTGTGGGGAGGATGCGGGAACAACATGGGACATCCACAAGTTGAAAGGCCACTCTGAGCTACCTCCATGCCTTCAGTCAAATGAATGCTGGCAAGCTATGTGAGCTATCTGTGCCTCTGTTTCCTTATTATAAATAAAGATAATTACACTGCCTTATCAATTCAGATCATACATATTGCAGTATTTTATGAAACCTTCTATGTAAATTAAACATTCTTATTGTCTAAAAGGAAAATAAACAACTTAATCACTACACAAATCCCAGGCAAGCGTAGCCTATTCCGTCGTCCCTTCTCAGGCACTAGAGGAAGAGGCAAGGACAGCAAGCAGCCTCTGGAGCACAGAGCGGGCCCAGCCATCCTACAGCAGCCTCCGATCCAGACCCCAGCCTGGGCAAGCCGCGGTGCCTGGGCTCAGTGCTAGTAAGTGACGGAACCAATCCGTGCAATTCCAAAGCCATGGTTAGACAGAAGAAAATTATTCAAAAATGATTTCCCCAACTGTTCAAAATACCACAGTGGATGTACTAAGTTCCTGAATTTAACCATCTGCAGCAAAACGAGGGCAAGAGAGAGAAGACCCAGTTCCCCCACAGTGGTCAGAGCCCGCGTCACTCGTGTGCAGGGACCTCTCTCCATGCTGGGACTGAGACCCAGGGTATATCAGAGCAGAGAACATGACCTCAGCCACTCACTGATTGCTCTAACTGGACGCGTTCACCTACACTGAAATTCAGTTTCTAATTTTAGGATCAAATAAATTAGGTCTAGAAACGAATAGGGCTAAAACATGGATTAAAAATTTTGTTTCCTTGTTTTTCATTAAAAAACGAAACTATTCAGTTATACGTACAACCCTCAAAGGGACATCTTCTGCTTTCTGCCCCTTGGTTTTGGGTGACGGTGCGACAATCGCCGAGGGTGGGCCCTGGGAGGACCTGGTCACAGGGGCGGCAGAGCTGAGCTCACATGTCCTCCTGTCCTTTCCTGGGTTTGGCTGTGAAGGTAACAGGGGTGGCGGGCAGGGCACAAAAGGGAAGCAGAGTTCAGTTACACAGCAACTGGACCACCTTCTCTCTCTTTAGTACATTGCGCTCTCTGTTTTGAAGCTTTTTTTTTTTTTTAAACAATTCTTATATTTTATAAATAAAAAAGGATGAAATGGAACATCTGGATAAAATACCTTTTTCTTTTTCTGTTCATCCAGAATGTGTTCTGTCACTCTTTGGACAATTTCATCAATACTTAATCCTGAGAGTGAGTTCTTGTTTTTGCTTCGCACTTTTTTAATAAAACCAGCAAGCTCGGTGCTGAAAGGCAAAGTGACAACAGAAAGTTCTCTACTGCTAAGAAATACTACGTGCCAATATTAATCCAACAGCCCAACCCAAAGAAACAAAGACAAAGCACACACAATTAATTTGAAAACCACTGATAATAACAGTCACTGTATCTAAAAGCAGGTCTTTTTTTTGAGACAGTCTCACTCTGTTGCCCAGACTGGAGTGCAGTGGCGTCATCCTGCTCACTGAAACCTCCGCCTCTCGGGTTCAAGCAATTTTTGTATTTTTTAACAATAGATGGGGTTTCATCAAATTAGCCAGGCTGGTCCCGAACTCCTGACATCAGGTGATCCACCCGCCTCAGCCTGGCCTGAGTCACCAAGCCTGCTGGCCAATCATATTTTAACTGCCCCTTTGTTTACAAATTTCCATTTCAAAGCCTGTAATTAACACTGTCTCAGAAATAACAGAGCATATCCTGAAGGTCATTCCTGAGCACAGGGTCCTTTGTTCCGAGCTGCACTTCAGAGACACTGCCTCTACCTCACCGTCTCCCACAGCTGAGACAAGAGGCACCTCTGGCCCCCTCGCACCAACCTGCACAGCAGAAACTAGAGGTGGAGGCAGAAACACTCCTGAAGAGCCTGCCATCACCCCAACCCTGTTTACAGCTCCTGCTCACTAAGGTAAGGGCAGCTTTTCCCCACTCGCAAGGACGCCTTGTTAACATGTTCACATGCCCCATTCACCATGGATTTCCATTCAGTCTTCAGCCTCATACTCTAACAAATCAGGTATAGGTTGCTGCTGCCTTCTTGGCTATATGTAATTTTGTCTCCCCAAATGATGCAAAATTATTGTTATGCAGTTCATTTATTGATTCCATAAAGCTAGTTTTAGATAGTGTTATTGGTCTCATCAAAATCTTAGCAAATTGTCATGGGTTCTGAAGAGCTCCCATGACATTACCCAGTGGTCAATGTTTTCAACTTACATATGCACATTAAAAAGTATATTTGAAGCCAGGTGTGGTGGCTCATGCCTGTAACCCCAGCACTCTGGGAGGCCAAGATGGGTGAATCACTTGAGGTCAGGAGTTCGAGACTAGCCTGACCGATATGGTGAAATCCCATCCCTACTAAAAATACGAACATTAGCCAGGGCTGGTGGTGCATGCCTGTAATCCCAGCTTCTCAGGAAGCTGAGGCAGGAGAATCGCTTGAACCTGGGAGGCAGAGTTGCAGGGAGGCAAGATGATGCCATTGCACTCCAGCCTAGGTGACAGAGACAGACTCTTTCTCCCAAAAAGAAAAAAAAAAAAAAAACCAAAAAAGAAAAAAAATTATTTGAAAATATTTATTTCTATATTTACAAAAAGAAAGAGCACCTGTCTTTCTAAGCAAAATAATTAGGCAACCCTTTTCATGTTAACACCTAATTGGCCTTGATTTTATCTGATCAGGAAACCTCAGCTCAACTAAGTATGGAACACAGTCACAGACATTTTCTGTTCATACCTGTTGTAACATGGGAATACCACTGACAGGTGCTCAATAATACTATTGAACGGCTTTTTTGGAGACTGGCTTGAACGTGCAGCACGTCCTGGAGGAACACGTTGCTTCTGATTAGCCACAGGGCTTTGCTCTGACACAGCTGCCTGGCCAGCCCTTTTTGGCCCTGGCAGCTGAGTGGCTTCAGGCTGACTAGGGGGTGGCCCTGGCAAAAGTGCAGGAGGAGCCTCCTCTGGGGAATCGCAGGCAGAGAACACACTGGGATCCCCGTGAACTGCTGCGTGGCTTCCAGTCATGTTGCTTGCAGAAGTCACAAGCCCCTGGTCATCGACGCCTGAAGAGTCGGGGAGTAACTCGGCATGAGCCTGTGAGGAACACACCACAGGATGGATCACTTAGGGCTTCCCTTGAATTAAGAGGAAGAAATGCCAAGGGCAAAGGCCAATGAATGAACACAACAATAACGCAGCCCAGAAGCTCCATGCATAAGAAAGCTGCATACTGTGAATTAAATATTTTTGTTTAAAAGTATTATTGTTGATAACTTGTCAGTTATTAGAACAAAAGTAGGAGGGCTCAGGCTTCTAAATAATTCTCTCTATAAGTCACTATTTTCTCTATAAGATGAGAAAAACCACCTAAACTAGACCATTTCACCTGCCTACTGGCCCTCCTTCAGCCTGGTCACACGTCTCCCCTTCCAAGCTAAACAGTGTAGCTGACAGATGGAACCTCACAGTCCCCACACTGCTCAGAGCTGTCTCATCTCAGCAGGGCCGCCGCCTCTTTCCTTCCCAGCCCCACACCGTTGCGCTCTCCCGGCAGCTCTCAGGCCTCTGTCCATACCTGCAGTGCTGATGCTCCTCCCCATGCAGTTGCCTGAGGCCGAAGCTTTTTAAAAGTTTTCAGTCTAGAATACTTTCCTCAGATCCAAATCTGCAAATCCACTTGGGCGGTTCCAAGGCAACTCAAACTCAATGTGTAGGAAACAAGCCTCAGGCAGCCTCCCCAGTCCTGCTCTTCCCCTAGTACTCCGGGATGGAAGCCCAAGACTCACTCTTAACTCCCATGTGGACACATGGGGCCTGGTCTCCTGAGCAGCATGGCGCCTGCAAATGTACCCCTAACCACCTCTCTCACATCTGTTCTCTTCCCTCCACCCCCACTGTCATGCCCCATCCAGGACAGGCTGATGGCATAAGCTGATAACCAGCCACCTGGAAATCACTCAAGCCCCTCCTCAACAGCCCCCCACACTAGTAAGCTCATCTTCAAAAAGCACAGTAGCTCCCTGTAACCCTCAGATACATTCTGAGACCCCTAGAGAATGCCTCAGGGTGGCCACACATTTTCCACGTAATTATTTTTTTCAGATGAATTCACAGTAAGTTTGAATGTTTACTGTACAACGTACTGGTGAGACATTCAAGGCCAGGCTGAGATCTAACGCATGTGAGAGAAGGCCCACAGTGGGAGGCCCAGAGGGCCGCCCCTGACAGGTTTCCAGGGGCAGGCAGGATGCAGAGTGAGGACGGAGTTCCAGGCCACAGACAGCCCAGGCAAAGGTCTGGCAATAGTGGGAGGGTGCAAATCACGTGGTGGGAAAGAGTCTCCTCTGTCTTTGGGAACCAGATTTCACTGTCCCGCCACAACATTCTGGAACCTCTCTCTTTCAACTCTCTAACACAGTCCTCCTTTAATTTTGTTTTTCTTTGATACCTACGCTTTCTCTCAAGATCTAACTTTAAATTTCTATAGTCTGATCTCCTCTGGGCCTAATCCATTTCAATTTAGTATTTACTAAGCATCTGTTCTGTGTCCAAATCTAAGAAATACGGGTTTAGCCATATCATAAAGTCCACAAAATACAATTAATGCTTTTCTTTACTGTGCTGAGTGTATTAAAAAGACAAGACTATTCAGTTATTCACAAGATTCAGCAAATACCTCAAACAAGCAGTAAAATATGATGTGCCAGACCAACGAAGCCCTTTATGTCTCTGGCATAGCAGCTTTTATTCTGTATTTGAGGGGGAAATCTCTTAAATTTTAGATTTTGGTCTTATGCACCAAATATCTAGGAATAAGAGTATAATCTGAGGCGATAGAGTCCTGCTTAAATCACAGGCACCTGGATTATTCATTCAAAGTTAGGAATACATATAACACACACACACACACACAGAGAGAGAGAGAGAGAGAGAGAGAGAGAGAGAGAGAGAGAAGAAAGGAGCCAGACCAAGGTACAGGAGAATGACAGAAATGTAGCAATGGTGTATTCACCTCAGTCCGTTCCTTATACAGATGTAGAAAGACTGATCTATTTTATATAAGAATGTTATAAAGCTTAAAAGGTTAACCAGTAGCACCAATAATGAAAACATTAAGTCAAGTATTAATCAATCTCATCCTCACTCCCAGAAAACAATAACAAATAACTACTTTGGCCAGTTAAGAAACAAATTATGTTAAAAAAAAATGTACTAGACTTACCATGTTACAGGCGGGAAATGAAAGCTCAGAAATCTGCACTTTAGAAAGTTCGCTGAGCCGAGAACCATTTTTAATTGCCGTAATTTGTTCTTCAAATTGAGACTGTGAGTAGAAAGGAAAGGGTGGGAAAGCCACAACTGTCAATTAATACACTGTTTCTTACTATAGATTATAAATGAAACATGACTGTCTTGTAAGGAAATTCAAAATAAGACCTCATTAATCCGAATGCTCCACAGCCTTTTCAAACATAACTCCTCTAATCTTACCAATCAAGGCAGAATTCAAGATGGTTAATTAAGAAAATGCCATTATGTCCATGAAAAGCTCATACTTTCAACAAAGAATATATTATTAATAACAGATAAAAAAGAAATAGTTTCAAAATGACACTAGCCTCCTGAGAATTAAAAATATCATAAAGATTTTGACAGAATTAAAAGACTTTTTTTACAACTTACCTTTGCTTTCTCAATTTCTTTTGTAACATTAGAAAGAAACAATTCCCACGAACATCTATCAGACTCCATGTCAGGATATGCTGCAGAATCACTGAAAAAGTATAATATAAAACTGCTTTAGCAATTTAAAAAATTAAAAGCACTTACGTACAAATAAATATCTAAACATGAGAGAAAGATACATTTAACATGATCGCATATACACAAAAAAAACCCAACTATTTTTAAAGAATTGCTTATCTTATAAACTTGCCTCTAGAGACACTTTAGAAAATTTTAATATAACAAAAACTCTAAAACTGAAGGGTAGAGAGAAAATAATTCTCCTGAATTTTAAGTTCTTTTCCCAAATTTTAAAGTTTGACCACTCTTCATTTGACATCTTTATGTTTAATATTAAAGCCAGCCTCTGCATTCAAAGATATTTTTTTAAAAGGTAGTCTGAAACATTCAAAAGATTCCAATCAAACCCTAATCACTACCTTAACATAAAAATAAAGGATAGGCCTAAGATAAATTTATAATCTCGGCACCACCTCATGAATCTGGTCTATTGAAAGTGACAGATAAACTGACTACTCCTAATTGAGAGGATCAAAAACACTACCAATCTGTGGGTATAGTAAACCCCTCATTATGCATCTTGAAGAAAAAAACCACAGCATTCTTTTAACCCCTTTTCTGTTTCTATACTTTGGTGGAAGAGGCAGAATTAGCATGACATCCTGAAGAAAGAATCTTTGTATACTCTATGGTTTATTGGAAGAGTCGATATTATTAGACGAAATGAGTCTGAGATACCTTTTGCTCCCCAGCTGAGCCGCAACGCAGCCTATGACGGGTGCTTAGTACAGGCGGTTGACCATCACTTGGTCTCAACCTCAGCTGTACTAGTGCTGTAATCTAAATCAGCATATTAGTTTACCCTTAATCAGAAAAGTTTTCTCATGAAAAAAACCTAAATCTTGAAAATGAACAACGGGCCGGGGGTAGTGGCTCACACCTGTAATCCCAGCACTTTTGGAGGCCAAGGTGGGTGGATCACAAGGTCAGGAGTTAGAGACCAGCCTGGCCAACATGGTGAAACCCCATCTCTACTAAAAATACAACAACAAAAAATTAGCTGGGCATGGTAGTGCACACCTGTAATCCCAGCTACTCAGGAGGCTGAGGCAGGAGAATCCCTTGAACCCGGGAGGTGGAGGTTGCAGTGAGCTGCCAAGATCATGCCACTGCACTCCAGCCTGGGCAACAAAGCAAGACTCCATCTCAAAAAAACCACACATTAAAACTGATTGTACATGATTGACACAATCTCTGGTTCATTGCTGAGGGTTTGAAATTTGAATCAAAAGGCAAGCACCAGGAATAATGAAAAACCTGAGATTAAAAACGCAAAACCTGTATATAGAACATGGTAAGAGAACCCAATGAAAAGTTATCTCACATGCAAAAAACCCACACAGAGAAGTGTTAAGTACTAGGGTGAAGAAGATCATCTAGGAATCCCAGGCAAGCCTTATCTTAAAAACAAACAAAAACAGGTAAAGATCATATGGAGAGCTGAAAAAATTTAGTATGCATGAGTATACTTTGTAGTAACATTCCTATATACTGTCATGCAGACTGTTAAATAGGAGCTATTATGGAAAGCAATTTGGCAAAAAATTTTAAAAGCCTTGAAAACGTGATCTTCATTCCAAAAATTTACGGCACAGAAGTGACTAATAATGTGCATAAAGATTTAACAATGAGGATGCTCACTGCAGGGCGGCTAATATTAACAAAAATTCACAGACAACTTCACTGTCCCAGCACAGCAGCGTTTGATAAATCATGACATGTTTCTATGCTTGAATACTATCCAACCTTTCGAAATTAGGTTGGAGAAATGGAATTATCAATGTAAAAAGAAATTTCCTATGTACTATTTAGTAAAAATAAATCTGCAAATTTTCATTTTTTCAAACACTTCATGAAAATATTCCAAAATACTAATGTTATATCTCCATTTAGAATTATGAATCATTTTAATATTTTTTGTTTGTATGTCTTAACTTTTCTACAGTTGAACATGTATCAATCATGTAACTAAAAAAAATAAAATGGTCCCTAATATAAAATAATGTTTTTCTCAAATGGTCCTAGCTTTATCTTCTAAATGACATGCTGAGAACACCCACAAAACCACATTACCGGCTAATCTGCTTCAGCTTCTTAAGATAGGCTTCTGCTTGTGACTCCATGATCTGTAGCTTATACACTTCACTCTCCTTCCAGTTTTCAAGGATGGATACCTGCCAGTTGGTTAGAGGACACATGAGTATTTTATAAATGACAGTCTGAAACTATTATAAAGGTTAGAACTTAAACATTCCAAACCACTTTCCAATTTCTCCTTAAATGAAACATGACAGAATCACCAGAACTTGATTATATCATAGGTGAAAATGAATTCGACTTTGAGATTTGAAAACAGAATAACAAAATGACATTACAAATGTATACCTTACATGATCCCTTTTGCAGATATGCATAATTACATGGCTTTCTGCTAAAGCCATATATAAACAGAGAGCCAGCTTAACTGCATGTGCACACCAGTGTGCACTACCTATGGTCCTGAGCAGAATAAACCTTAATAAGGGCAGCATCCTCTGCAACAGAAAAGCCTCAGAGAAGCTGTTCTCAGCACAGGTATCAAAAGCCTTTGGGACATGCTTTTAAGATTTTAGACTCTCTGTGGCTTTCCTTTAGAATCCAACTGGCCATTTTTGTGAGAATCACTGCAGGAAATGTAGAATAGCCTCGTGGTCCAAGTGATCCGTTAAACAGCCTTTTAATCCAGGTGTCAGTAACCTTGACAGGACCACCAGGCAAACCTGCTTGCCAAATAGTGGTAAATGTGAACTAAACAAGCTCAGGAATATAGATGCAGGTGTGGGACCCACAGAATATTCATAATTCAGCTCTCTTTTTCCTTTCCTCTCCTTAGAAACAGGTGCATAGTCTATTAATGGAAAAGCCTAATGCTTGCAGAGTGTATAAAGGAAGTCTTTTCTTATTTTACCAGAATAATCACAGACACATATGCCAATAAATATCATTTGTTTGTCAGCTAGAGAAACATAAGAGAATAATGTTTTAGGAACAAAATAAAATATAGCCAGATGTCATTATTCTGATTTTTGTCTTAGTAGTTTCTCAAACAGTGTACTGACATTGTTATATATTCTTCTAGGGGGCAGGAGGAGTGTATTCTTTTTTTTTGAGACGGAGTTTCGCTCTTGTTACCCAGGCTGGAGTGCAATGGCGCAATCTCGGCTCACCGCAACCTCCGCCTCCTGGGTTCAGGCAATTCTCCTGCCTCAGCCTCCTGAGTAGCTGGGATTACAGGCACGCGCCACCATGCCCAGCTAATTTTTTTTTGTATTTTTAGTAGAGACGGGGTTTTACCATGTTGACCAGGATGGTCTCGATCTCTTGACCTCGTGATCCACCCGCCTCGGCCTCCCAAAGTCTGGAATTACAGGCTTGAGCCACCGCGCCCGGCCGAGGAGTGTATTCTTAATATGTGGATTATTTTCAGTTTTCTTTCCAAGTATTGGCAAATATTGTTGGCTACTGCATGGTACATCACTTGATTAAATATGATGAAAGTATTCGAAGTGTACAGTATAGGAAATGAGTGACTTATAATGGTAAATAAGGAAAGCAGGTCACAAAATTTGGTGTACACTGTGAATGCATATAAGTAACAACATAGGCATACCGGTAAAACATCACAAGGCTATAGGCAAGGAAAAAGAGCGGTCGTTTTAGGGAGAATATATTATGGGTGACAGGATATCCTTCAGGCACCACACTTTTCAGTAATGTCTGTTATGCCTTCTATGTCATTAAAGAAACACAAAAACAAACACAAAAATGAACGACAAATGCTATAGCCATCACTAAGTGTCATGGACTCACCTCTGCAGCCACAGCTCTCTGACGACTCTCTTCACAATCTTCTTTCCCTTTCTTTATACACTCTTCTATTTTCATTTTCTCGTTTGTAAATGTGTTGCTACAAATATTGGAGAAAAAAAAAAAAAAACTTCTTGAACAAAATTTCACAGTGAGATGACAAAGGCTTCAGGCTGGATGAGCTTTGAAACCACACCACAAAAGTCTCAGCTACAACTTCAGAGCGGTTTCTCACCGCATATTTTACTACACAAAACACAGACTTAGGTGTACTCTTCGTGCTTTACAGGTGATCAAAGGCAGGTATGAAACGGAAGTGCTTATTTGGTGGGCATGCTGAGAAGCAGGTGAGGGCACTGTTCCAGTTCACCATTTTTATGAGGTAGGTGGAGTACAATCTGGTGACATTAATAATCTGTACAGACCAGGCACAGTGGCTCAGGCCTGTAATCCCAGTACTTTGGGAGGCTGAGGCAGGCAGATTGCTTGGGCTCAGCAGTTCAAGACCAGCCTAGGCAGCATAGCAAAACCCTATTTCTACAAAAAATACAATGGTGGTGTGTGTCTGTAGTCCCAACTGCTCAGGAGGCTAAGGCGAGAGAACTGCTTGAGCTGGGAGATGAAGGCTGGAGTGAGCCATGATTGCACTACTGTACTCCAGCCTGGGTGACAGGGCAAGACTCTGTCTCAAAAATAAATAAATAAATAAATAATTAAAAAAAAAAAAAAAAAACTCATAAACATTCCCCATCCTTTGCGCCAGAAATTCTGTTTTGACACACATTACAAGGAAAGGACCCAAAGGGAAAAAGCAATCTGTACAAAATTATTCAAAAAAGGGGATGGAAATGTACATATGAAACAATATTCAGTGAGAAAGGCAGAATGCAACTGCTTATCACTGAATGTATTCGCTACTAATATGTGAAAACACAGTATTTCCATTAGCAATGGTTAAAAGGAAACTTTGTATAGATGCGTAATAAAAATTTAATGAACCTATAATCATAGAGCAGTAAGAGCAACAAACTGCCAGCCTACAGTGGAGACAAGTATTCCAAGTAACACAGTCAGTTTTTAAAACATGTTTTTAGTTTCAAGTTAATCCAAAAAAGTTACCGACAACAATAAATTCAGTATTTTTATATTGACAATGGGAAATAAATGCAGAAACTTTATAAAATAGAAATATTTAAATATTCAAAGTATATATTAATTTTAAAAATGCAATAGAAGTAGAAATAAAGAAAATAGAAACATAATTATTTAAAAGAAACAGACAAGCAACAATATATTTCAAAGTCTACTGTGCTTGTACTCCTGGCATTGAAAGTATTAAAGATATTAAAAATAAATTTAAGCTTAATTTGCCTGATTTCAAGGGACTGATCCAGATGTAATTCATGTTCCTTATCCTTTCCATCATTTTTCTGGGCATACCTAAAAAGCATAATCACCAAATTTTATTAATTTTGAAAATTCTTTTAACAGGACCCCCACACAGTAAATTCTACCCATATCCTTATAAAAATTTCTTGAACTTTTACATTTTGTTTCAGTTCTAGTATCTTCTAAATAGGAAAATCACTTGAGGTCATTTCCCTTTTGGGAAATTTTCCTTCCAGATCACCTTTTTCTTCATTCTAAGTCATATGCTTACAGGTAAATCACCCTAACTCAGTCTAAGATGTGTACCTCAAGATGGTTTCAACAGGAGACAGAGAACACAAGTATTGTGGCATCATCATGAGTGCAACCAGTGGTTCTTATTCGAAATGAGAAGATGTGGATTCTCATTCAAAATGAAAACAGCCTTCTACTCTCTAAAATAGAACTTAAAGTCAAAACGAGCATGCATACACACACACAGGCATGTGCACGCGCACACGTGTGCACACACACACACACACACACACTCTCTCTCTGATAATCCTTCAAAACAAGCATGTGAATCTGATTCTTGAGCCATGCCCTGCTCAAGGAGGGTTCTGCCTCTTCTTTCTTGCTACCCTGATACCTCTGCAATCATCTCTGCTTATTAAGATCGCTTGTTTCTAATACAAGCCAGTTTAACCATTATTTTACTTCTTTTGTAAAAGACTTCCTCCCTCCTTTAAATAGACAAATACCAGGTGATGCTCTCATGGAAGCCCTGCTTTCTTTCATAGCCACCTGTGGTTTGTGTCACTGCACCAATCATGAGCTCTATGTCCTAGTCATTTCTTAATGAGTAAGTGTGATCGAGAGCACAGAAACATCCAAGAAATCATTCTTCACGTCCTTTGTGTATCTCTGAGAAAGAGATCCAAAAAGTTTTAAGATTTTACTTTAAAATCTAAATAGAAAAACTGAGCTTTAAAGCATTTATTTGGAAAGTGTAAAAAGTAGGCTAGGTGCAGAGGTTCATGCCTGTAATCCCAGCATTTTGGGAAGCGAAGACAGGTGGATCACCAAGGTCAGGAGTTCGAGAACAGCCTGGCCAACATGATGAAACCCCATCTCTACTAAAAGAAATATATAGGCTGGGCACAGTGGCTCATGCCTGTAATTCCAGCACTCTGGGAAGCCGAGGTGGGTGGATCACCTGAGGTCAAGAGTTCAAGACCAGTCTGGCCAACATGGAGAAACCCTGTCTCTAGGTAGCACACATCTGTAATCACAGCTACTCAGGAGGCTGAAGCAGGAGAATTACTCCAACCCAGGAGGCAGACGTTGCAGTGAGCCAAGATTGTGCCATTGCACTCCAGCCTGGGCAACAGAGTGAGAATCCATCTCAAACAAACAAAGCAAAAAATTAGTAGGGCATGGTGGGCGCCTGTAATCCCAGCTACTCCAGAGGTTGAGGGAAGAGAATTGCTTGAACCGAGGAGGTGGAGGTTGCAGTGAGCCAAGATCACACCATTGCACTCCAGCCTGGGCAACAAGAGTGAAACTCTGTCTCAAAAAAAAAAAAAAAAAAAAAAGCTGAGTAAGAAGCCTATGGCTTATCTTTAAATTCTGACAGGAAAGGTAAAGAATCTATTAATAAAGTTGAATAAAGTCAACAATTAAAAGTTTATTCTTCAAGAGAAATTAACTTTTATGCTAGTACAGAAAAAAAAAATTTATCGTTAACAGCTTATAGTCAGCTTGTCTAGTTTGACAGTATGTCTGAATTGAACGTAAAAAGTATGATGAATATAAATATTTCCACATTTTTTTTAGTAACAAAATAACTAAGACTGGACATGCCCAAATATTAGAAGTAAAAAGCTTTACGGACATTATAGCTTCCTTAAGTGTGTTCTACTAATGAAGCTACTTTGATCATCAAAATGACATGACACAGGGAGTAAAAATTCTAAGGCAGTGTTTTACTCTTCCTCACTGTTTGAGGACTGCCTAAAAACTGCCCAAATGTCATGCTAGCAAGACTCATAATAAAAGTCATCTGATCATACAGCATGCAGCATGGAAAAACACAAAAGCCCTTGAAAGGTGAGTGTGCAGCGTGGCCATCAACAAATCCAACCTCCCATTAATCATGCCCGAGAATCTGGGCTAAGAAGCCTATGACTTGTTTTAAGCAATAAAAGGTGGCAGAGATGATTCTGTGACAGTTCTGGGCCTGAACCTTCAGGAGGCCTAGCGGCTTCCATTTCTGCACCCTTAGAAGTCCTTAGCCACCACCTAAGAAGTCTGGCTATCATGCTAGAGATCACATGGAAAGACCACATAAATAAAAATCACAGAGAGGCTACACAGAGAGAAAGTGAGGCCGAGCCACCCCAGCATCCCAGCGGAGGCCAGCCCCAGTCATCACTCAGATAAATTCAGCCACATGAGGACACCTAGCAAAACCAGCAGAAGAATGGTCCAGCTGAACTCAGCCCAGACTGGAGGACCATGAGCAAATACAATGGCTGCTAATCAAGACACTGACTTTTGGGTGTTTTCTTACACAGTGTTAGAAAATAAGCTGAAGAATTTGACATATCACTGTTTAGAGTAGAGGCAGGTTAGGGATGGATCACAAAAGATCTTAAAACACACTCTCAGCCCACCTGACAATCATGCCCAGGATCTGTGTATTTTATCAAATCCTTCACACTACAAGACTGAATTTTATTAATTTAATGATTCAGGATAAAATTATAAATATCATAATCATCACAGAATCTTACTTTTGAAAATAATCTTAGATTTTACACCAGCCTCCATGTTTTACCAATAAGAAAAAAGGGCCAGAGAAAGGGATGGTGTTCTAACTGGAAGGAAGTCAATTCCTTGGGGAATCCCAGCTCCATGCTACTCTCACTTTTATTTAATTTAGCTGAAAAAAATGTTAAGTTTAGAATAAAATTTAGGTGAGGTAACTACTCAATGAATGCTTTTTAAATTGAGACAAAAACTGAAAACAGTACCTTTTCATTTTTACTTTACTTGACATCATTTAAATTAAATACCAAAAATGTGAAAATAACCAAAAGCTATAACATTTTAAAAAAATAAAAATTACTGCCTTTCAATCATTACTTACATTTCACTGGCATTTGAAATCTTTTTAATTTTCTTCTTCAGTGGTTTTAGTCTCTCTTGTATTTCCTTTTTTTCCTGTTGCCATTTTTTAATTTCTCTTTCCAAATCTTGAAGAAACCAATCTAATTCCGTCTTTGAGATCTAAAAGCATTTAGAAAGTACTTAAATAAATGGCAAGATACACTTTTTAACAAAAGAGACTGAAAGGCTTGAATTGTGATGGTGTCATAGCTTAAACAATGACTCAAGTATCAGTGAAACAGATACTCCCAAGCTGGCACCCTGTGGTAGGCTATGCCCCCCAACTAAGCCTGGGACACCAAGTCACACCAGACAGCCACATCCTACCCACTACATGCACCTGATTACAGCAATGTGCCCAGAGGTATCCACATTTCACTCTCCAGCATAAATGATTCTCTAATCTACAGAGAGTCTGTACACATGTTTTAGTTGGCAAGTCCAATAGTTTCTGTTTGCTTTTTATAAATATAAATATAAATATAAATATAAATATAAATATAAATATAATCCTCTCGCTGGTCATTAAAGGCATTTGGGTTGAGTTACCTGCCAGAATTTCAGACAGTGTGACAAAGAAAAATGAAAACCTCATTGAAGACAGTGCTAGTTACTGTTCCCCTGGAGGATCTGGTACAGCACCACTTGACATCCAGCCCTCTTTGTCAGCTTCCTATGTAGTTGTTGCTTTTGAAACTTCTGAATCTACAATTCTCTAAAGCTTGTATGTCTTTTTTGAAGTATCATCCATTCAATGGTAGCAAGGGGTACATGCTTATCAATACCAGTCACTTATAAGTAAAACATTCCCTATATTATTATTGCTAATAACTAATTTAAATGTGAATCAAAGCAATATTTAAATAAAACATAAATATTTTCTAGTTTAAAAACCCACTATTGTCAATGATGGCTTAATAAAATCCTAACTTCACATTTGCTTTAGGGAAACTTTTCATTTTTTACTTCCTATCAGGTTCCCTAGAGCCTGAACTTCCTGCTTTGACTTAAAGCACACTTAGGTCACTGAGGAACACAGTTCAGCTATAGAAACTCAAGGTCTTCTCTGTCAGAAAGGGCACTACAGTCAACCTACATGGATTCCATAGGAAATAATGGCCCTCAGGCCAAAAGCTCTATCAATTTAAGAGGCCAGTGCTCCCTCTTCAGCCTCAGACACCAAGGTTTTCAATGTTTCTAGAAGGTAGATTTGCTAACCAATCAAGGTTCTTTAAGATTTCTGAGTCAGCCGGGCACGGTGGCTCAAGCCTGTAATCCCAGCACTTTGGGAGGCCGAGGCGGGTGGATCACAAGGTCGAGAGATCGAGACCATCCTGGTCAACATGGTGAAACCCCGTCTCTACTAAAGATACAAAAAATTAGCTGGGCATGGTGGCACGTGCCTGTAATCCCAGCTACTCAGGAGGCTGAGGCAGGAGAATTGCTTGAACCCAGGAGGCGGAGGTTGTGGTGAGCCGAGATCGCGCCATTGCACTCCAGCCTGGGTAACAAGAGCAAAACTCCATCTCAAAAAAAAAAAAAAAAAAAAAAGATTTCTGAGTCCTACAGCAGGGATAAGGTTGATTTTGGCACAGGAGAACTGTTCTTAGATGGCAGAAACTGAACAACAGCTCAGTAACACTCCCTTTAACCTGGGAACCAGTTCTTGTATTTTCTTTGCTGCAACTTTGTTGATCCTCAATTTCTTGAGTCATTAGGGTGACTGGGGTGACCACCATGCCTGCTGTACTTAAGAATCCTGTGTTCCACCTGCTTCATTTCTATTACCAGGGCCAGTGTGAATGTGCGCGCCTTGCTGCTGGCAGCCAAGCCAATCTTGTTTCTCACCTATCCTTTGCTCCTATTCTGAGCCAATGATCAAACCTGGGATCCAGCCCTTTGGCTAGGAGAATACATGCAACCACAGGGTTATGCTGGGGCATGAGAACCTAGTTGGCAACAAGTTCCTAAGGGAGTTCAAGTATCAAGAAGCACAAAGTATTATAAACACATGCGCACATACACACACATATAGCTCAGCCAGTGAAAATACTACATGAGTTAATCTTCTATGTGTACTAACCACTGCTGAATGCCACAGCTGCCTCATAATCCTAAACATAGGTCAGCTATCACAAGCTTGTTACTGACTGCAAGAAAGACAGAATGATCCCCTGAATCTTTTTCTTTCAAACTTAACATAAAACAAATAGGCTTTACACAACTGTATCTGCTATATGTACAGTTTATTGACATAACTATAAACACTTTCTGATGGTCCTTTTCTCAATTAGAAAAAAATTGGTTGGCCGGGCGCAGTGGCTCACGCCTGTAATCCCAGCACTTTGGGAGGCCAAGGCATGTGGATCACGAGGTCGAGAGATCGAGACCATCCTGGTCAACATGGTGAAACCCCGTCTCTACTAAAAATACAGAAAATTAGTTGAGCATGGTGGTGCGTGCCTGTAATCCCAGCTACTCAGAAGACTGAGGCAGGAGAATTGCCTGAACCCAGGAGGCGGAGGGTGCGGTGAGCCGAGATCATGCCATTGCACTCCAGCCTGGGTAACAAGAGCAAAACTCCCTCTCAAAAAAAAAAAAAAATTTTGTTTTCTTACCTTTTTTATTAAACCTCAATGTTGTTCTAAAATAAATATTTGAGGTACCTTTGATAATATATACATACATTTTTTAAAAGACACAGATAATGCTAAGCAGGTAAAGAAAATAGAATAAAAAGAGAGGAATGACAATACAAAACCATGAGTCAGAGTAAGATAAAAATGAATATGGCATGAGATCCTAACCATTCTATAAAAATAACATTAAAATTGTCTGGTAGACAAGGTCAAAGAGAAGACATAATGAGCTGTACGACTCAGTATCCACAACACAAAAACCAACTAGTTTCACAAGAGAGGCCCTGGCAGCGATGGCAGACAGAAGGGCCTCATGAAACGGATTAATGCAGAAACGCCTCACAAGACCAGCACAGAGCCTGGAACTTGAGTGAACACTCAGAAACGTCTGTGACATGAAAGAATGGATAATATCCCCAACTCCATATAGCAGTAAACAAAGCAGCAAATTTCATAGAATGTGAGCCTGATGTCCTCTGATATAGGCTGATGGAGAATATAAAAACACAATTCATTAAACGCAGCTTTTCAGGGGGTGACACACACACTGCTTGATAAACATTTGCCAAGCTTCAAGTCTGTATACTGAGCTAGGCGCTGTCAACCAACGATGACTATAAAAACCAGCCAGGTGTGGTGGCTAACGCCTGTAATCCCAGCACTTTGGGAGGCTGAGGTGGGTGGATCACGAGGTCAAGAGATCGAGGCCATCCTGGCCAACATGGTGAAACCCATCTCTATTAAAAATATAAAAATTAACTGGGCGTGATGGCACATGCCTGTAATCCCAGCTACTTGGAAGGCTGAGGCAGGAGAATCGCTTGAACCTGGAAGGCAGAGCTCGTAGTGAGCCGAGATGGCACCACTGCACTCCAGCTTGGTGACAGAGTGAGACTCTGTCTAGAAAAAAAACCCAAAAAACAAGGCCAGGCTCGGTGGCTCAAGCCTGTAATCCCAGCACTTTGGGAGGCCGAGGCGGGTGGATCACGAGGTCGAGAGATCGAGACCATCTTGGTCAACATAGTGAAACCCCGTCTCTACTAAAAATACAAAAAACTAGCTGGGCATGGTGGCACGTGCCTGTAATCCCAGCTACTTAGGAGGCTGAGGCAGGAGAATTGCCTGAACACAGGAGGCGGAAGTTGCGGTGAGCCAAGATCGCGCCATTGCACCCCAGCCTGGGTAACAAGAGAGAAACTCCATCTCAAAAAAAAAAAAAAAAAAAAAAAAAACATCTTTCTGGGCATAGGAGCATGTGTTTGTAGTCTCAACTTCTCAGGAGTCTGAGGCAGGAGGATCCCTTGAGCCCAGGAGTTCCACCTTGGCAATATAATGAGACCCCCATGTCAAAAAACAAGCAAAACAGAACAAAAAAACAGTCCTACTCTCAAGAAGATCACAGGTGGAGAAAATATGCATAAAAGATAATTACTATACCATACCATTCTAAAATTAATTCAAAATGTATCACAGACCTAAATGAGTAAGCTAAAACTATAAAACTCTTAGAAAATACAGAATATTGACTGGGCACAGTGGCTCACCCCTGTAATCCCAGTACTTTGGGAAGCCGAGGCAGATGGATCGCCTGAGATCAGGAGTTTGAGCCCAGCCTGGCCAACATAGTGAAACCCTGTCTCTACTAAAAATGCAAAAAATTAGCTGCGCATGGGTGGGTGCCTATAATCCCAGCTACTCGGGAGGGTGATGCAGGAGAATCGCTTGAACCCAGGAGGCGGAGGTTGCAGTGAACTGAGATCGTGCCATTGCACTCCAGCCTGGGCAGCAAGAGCAAAACTCCATCTCAAAAAAATAAAAAAATTAAAAAAAACAAATATAAAATGTTAACTCTCAGTACCCTTGAAGCAGAGAGGAGTTTCTTAGCTATGACACCAAAGGCACAAGTAACAAAAGAAGAAAAGAAATTGGACTTAGTGTATTGAAAATAAAACCTTTTGTGCCACAAATGAAACCATAAAATGGAGATGGGAGGATGGAAGTAATTATTTGCAAATCACATATTTGATAAGGAACTTGTATCCAGAATATATAAAAACTCTATTTTGTTTTGTTGAGACAGGGTCTTGCTCTGTTGTCCAAAGTGCAGTGGTGAGATCATGGCTCACTGCAGCCTTGACCTCCTGGTCTCAAGTGATTTTCCCACCTCAGCCTCCTGAGTAGATGGGACTACAGGTATGTATCACCATATCTAACTAATTATTTACTTAGTTTTCTTTTTTGTAGAGAGTGAGGATCTCATCACATTGTCCTGGCTGGTCTTGAACTCCTGGGCTCAAGCAATTCTCCCACTTCAGCCTCCCAAAGTGCTGGGATTACAGGTGCGAGCCCTGTTTTTTTTTTTTTTTTTTTTTTTTTTGTTTGTTTGTTTGTTTGTTTTTTGAGACAGACAGCATCTCACCCTGCTGTTGCCCAGGCTGTAGTGCAATGGCATGATCCTGGCTCACAGTAGCCTCAAAACTC